AGTTACATTTATCGACATTTTCCATATAAAAAATTAAAATCGATGCATTTGCTGCTGCTACCACTTCTCAAAATGGGATTTTAATATTGTATTATTTTTCAACATAGGCTGGCAGTGTTAAGAAACACTGATCTAAGTGGAAAAAAACCCCACCCATGCAACTATTTTTTACAAATTATTTGTTACAGCTGCTAAAACACAATTTAAATAACATTTTAGGTACACTTTTGTGCAAAGTAATATTTTTCAATTGCTAATAATCAACAGAATATGTTGATCAATTTCCATCATGGTCAAGAAAAAAGAAATATCAGATCAGCTTAAACTGAATTTGAGGAAAATCTTGATTTTACTGACATTATAAAACCTCCATAGTTCTGGGCCAGTTAAACTACAATGTACTTCCCCTGGCGCATGTTTCACAGATGGCCAGTTCCGAGCATTGATATTCCTTTATGCGGATGAGCCTTGATGAGTCTGAGTGAAATTTTCAGGTTGTACACTTCTTTCTCTTCCCTCTTTGTGCAAGGAAGAAAATTTGGCAGACTTTACTTTCCCTTTTGATTAAATAAATTGGATAAATATTCCCTGGATATTCCAGTTCTTGTATAATGTACTCAAACATGGTTTTATAGAAGGCTGCATGGAACCCAAAACTTTCTGAGGCCCTCAGAGCCCCTTCCAACCATGACTGATCTGCCTCATCATTTTGAAAGAATATACAAAACTCCTTTAGTGCAAACCCTATAGATTTAACGTAGGTTACTCACTCTTCCACCCCAAATGTAAGGAAAAACAGAAATTCCAGACCCTATGCATAGAACAGAGCTCTGCCCACCAACTGTAACCTACCACAACCTCAATCTCTCTAAAAACATTAAAAGTAGTTTCCAGCTCTTGAAATGTTGCCCCCTCCCCCCCATATTAGAATTTCATGTGAGCAAACTGACTGTGTCATCTCTAAACATGTTATGTATAATGGATTTCTTTAACAAGAATTGAAAAACCATGATAGCTTTCAAACTACAGGAAAACAAATAGCCCTTCTCTGGGCAAACAGTGAGGTTTCCAGAACTATGGTAAACATTAACTAAATTTCTGAAAATCAGAATTGAATTTTCATTTGTTCTTGTGCAACCAACCACAGATTGAAAATTGGTTGGTTAGGTTCTACTTAAAATGTGCAGCTTAGTACATGTTGGGCGGGTTTGTTTGCGTGTTCCTGTTCATATTTTCTAAATTTTTATTGCTTGAAGTTAACCACATTAAGATTTCAGAGGGTAGAGGGCAGACTTTGAATTAATAAAAATATAGATGAAAACTTCATAAAAAAGACAGCAGACAAACCCTTGTACGTGGTTAAATTACTTTAAAAACCCCATTTTTCAGAATGTGTAATACAATAAAAATATAATGATTACTGCATACAAAAGACTTATACGATAAGTGGTTTTGTACTGAATAGATTTCCACTGTATGAAATAATAAATGGCTGAATTATCTGAACAAAAAATCGCCTCTGTGTATCTTTCTTAAAACTGGTTATTCTTTTGCAATACATACATCTTCTTAGGCAGAGCATTTTACTATCTGTTTGCTTGTTGGTGATGTTTGCAGATCTAGGGGCCAGAGGAGTTAGGGCAAAATATTACTGCTGCTAAACAAAAAGCCAGAATTTATAGTGTAGTTTCAAAAGTAATTTTGTTTCAGCCAGGCAGATAAAATAGGTAACTACATAACCCAAACACAGTAACACCTAGGGCAGCTTCGGTGAGGAGAAAAGCAAATGATTATCTAATAGTTTGCTCAATAGGCTTTTCCCTTTTCAACTGGAGTAAAAGTGTGCTGCTTATGTCTAATACTAAAAGAAGCAATTTTATTTTACATTAAAAAAACCCGCCATGTCTGATTAACAGTTTTCATTCCTTTCCTTATCCTTGCTGAAACAAGCATAAAACCATTATAAATAAGACCAGTGGGAATACCTCTGTTAAATAGTTGTCTACAGGGTAAAGAAAAGCAGGCATAATGAGGCTGTAGGCCAATAATGTGTATTTTCAGCTCCCAGAAAAAAACTGCAGAAGACCAATAGTATGCAAACAAAAACTTTAAAAGGTTATGGGAAGAATAAAGAAGGAGGGGGAAGCACAAATGTCCATGTCTGCCTTTGTGTTGGGAAACTATACAGTTTGGTTTTTGCTTGGATGTGTTTAATATTAGCCTGCACATACTTGGTTTAAGCAACAGGTAAATCATCTGGGATACAAGGGAAAGAAGAAGGAGGAGGAAGAAGAATATCTAACAGCCTGTAAAATGTGGAATTAAGAGGCATCACTATAAAGAACAAGGCAGAATCAATCAGACCCATTATATTTTTAATACAGAGATGCTTGTATTCACTTGATCTTCTATTTTTTAGGAACATAGGGAAAGGCAAGAGATTCACCCTCCTCAAACATCCATCAGAGGCGGCATTAACTGCAAAGGCTTATAGGAATGGCTTAACTGCTTGCCTTGTCTTATGCTCTAATAAGCATAGAGGAACCAAAACTATCACTGTTAACTGATCTGTCATGCAAAGTGGAAAAGAAACCAGCATAAAAAAAAAAAAAGGAATTTTTTCACCCTTGCAATGGGCTTCTCTCCTGAATAGGCAGTAAAATGAAAAAGGTTATTGCCTTAACCAATATAAAGCAACAGATGCTGCTGAAAATAACAGGTCAGGTTTTTTTTGTCACCGTGGTTCCTTTATCACTTTCAGGAGCATCAGGTATTGGGAGTGGTGGGGGGACAGATGAATGGACAAGAATTTCTGCCAGCCTCTCTAAAGGTTTGCTCTCTTCTTCTATATTCTAAAATAAAACGAGTGGTATCAGAAGGTTGAATATATGTATTTTCTGCAGTAAAAACATAGCATGTAAATGGATTGATAGACACAAAGTTACTTGTCCCTCCCAAACAATTTGAAGTTGGGCTCCAAATAAAACAACATCCCACCACTCAAATTCTCCAGTAATAAGGGCATGTCTTCACCAGGTACATTTCTGTTCAACAGAAACAGACAGGTATATATGCAATAAGAAATACATAGAAAATATGTGACTAAAAGTCTTTTTTTACTTATAACTCAAGACAGTATGGCTACTGTGTAGCTGCATTATGACAATGATTGTAAGTGTGGAGGGAAGAAGATGAAATGAAATAGACAGTGTAAGTCTGAATATTACAGCAAATGAAAACAAGCAACTGAACAATCTCACAGGGAACAAGATGTAATGGTGCTCCTGCAAACAAAAATAAATATAAAATAGTATTTCAGTTAATTTTATTGGACATGTCCATTTTCATTCTATTTTAGTATGCAAACATACTTCCTGGGGCTTCCAGAAAGTTACACTTGATATAGGTAAGAGACTTCCAGGAACTTGACACCTAGGTACTTATTATGACACACTCTCAATTATTTTGACCAAAAATTATTGTTTAACCATAGGAACACTAGTCTCAAGATCTCTGCTACATTTTTAGCAAAAGTCTCCTTTTAGATCTGCCAGCTTTCAAATGGGCCATATTCCTGTTTTCAAGAAACAACAGAAGAGAAAGTAGAGATATGACAGAAATATATCTAGGAGTTGACAAAATGTTTGGGAATTCTCAAATTCTTACAGCAGGATTTTGAGGCATGCAAATTCAGTTGTACCAATGTTGAAGAGAAACACTTTAAGGGCTTCTACCTTTGAAAAAGCAGCCTGCTGCTCCTTGAAATTTTACCAGTCATTACCTGTGGAACTGTTCACCATGTTAGGTGCCATGCTGTAAGGAGGCGCTTGAGGGTTCATCAGGCTTGAGTTGCTGTTCATTGGTTGGGTGTAGGGAGAGCTGGATCCCATAATGCCACTCTGATTGATGACAGGAAAACTGCCTTGCCTGAAAGAAGAGAAAGGACACACACATGCACAAGCTCTTATTGTGTTTCTTACTGCACAGGACACTTTGGTTAGTTACAGAATTCATATTTTAGTATTCACAGACACCTACAGAAGATGCAGCCAGTTAGTTTTTGCCTGCATAGGGAGCTTACTATTGGATTAGTAATTAACTCATTTTAAGGCCCATTCTAAAGTCACGTATCATGCAGATCCCTAAACAAAACAGATGTAATATATGTTAATTTAAAATGGATAAAGCCTAATACTACATAAAGAAGTTGAGATTGGACATGGCCAACAGGTAGATAGTAATGAAAGCACGTAAGAGAGAACAGAGTGCTTACCATTGAAGTAAAAGAAGAACCCAGGGTAAGTTAACTAAGTGCTTTTGATTCTACTTTGCCTACCATACTATAAAAAGAAGCTAAAATATAAAACAAATTCAAAAAAATAAAAAATAAAAAATAAAAAAAGCCAATCAATCAATCAATCAATGGATTGAAACTATACTACTTCGATATGCAATTAAGAAATGGGCATTCATCATGTTTGTTTTAAAGCATTCATGATTTGAGATTATTGTAATCACTAGATATAGCTATACTAATGGATTCTTGATAGCTCTGTGGTAGGCTAGTTTATAAAGGATTAGAAGAGCTTTTGAGCAAAATCAAAGAAATATCATTCTGGTTTTTGCCTAGTGTAGTACATCTTAACAGAGCTAACTTGTATGAGTGAGTAAATACAAGTTTATGCTCACATATGTGTTAATAGAAGAAGTCTCAAGTATAAAGGGAACTATAGTCAGTATCCAATTGCTGGACAGATATTCACCAGACACAGTATCAATTACAGAAATATCTTGACTGATACCTTGATTTTGATTCTTCACACCAATATAATTATCCAGTTTATATGAGTCCTCAATCCTTTTCAAGTGATTTTAGTTAACTTTGTATATAAGAGAGCTTAAATTGACCATTTAAAAAATATAAATGCTTAAGACAAATGTCAGTCTTTCACTGGGACTCAATGTACAGACTGAAGAAAGCCACAGTGTCGTTTGCCTGCTTGTAGTTTAGAGTGATTTTTAAAACAAACCATTGGGGTTAATAAGTATGACTTATGACTTAGCCAAGTGTGGTTTATTAAAAAAAAATACTGGTGTAATGCAATGTGTGAATTTAGTCGGTATGTTTTCTAAATCAAGGAAAGTTTCTCTCAGGTGAATTAGATGTGATAGACGGTTCACAGCTGATAACCTAGTATTACTGAAGGGTATTGTGTTTAACCTTCAAAAGCTTTCACCAACTTAGGATTTTGGATTTTGTTGCAGCTGAAGGATCAAAGAAAATAAGGATCAAGGAAACTGAAGGAACAAGGAAAATAATATTTTTATTAATCATTTTAATATAAAGTATGGAAAAGGGGCTAGTCAATACTAGATGTTTAAATCATTTTATTGAAACAAGTACAGGACATGTGGTATAATTAATGTTTTTTTCAAAGTTGGTTTTGTCCTCTATTTCTGTAAAGAAGCAAAGGATTTCTTTTGATATGAAGGAGACAACTGACATACAATGTTATTCCCCTGATGCAAGTTCTGATGTTGTAGGGAAACATACTTAAAATGCACAGCCATACAATTCTCCTCTCCACCCCTAAAAAGAAAAAAAAAGGAGCAGGAGCATTTGCAAAAACTTTGGAAGATTTTACTGAAATAAAATATTCTTTACGCACATATCGCCAATACCTTTTAAAAGTATTCTGAAAACACAATCAAAACTATTACATAGCACATTAAATGGTACAATCTCTACCCTTCCTTGTAATATTTATTTATTAGAAATAGAAAGTGTAGAAAAAGGAAGACCTAAAATGCAAAAATGTATATGGAAAATACATACATACTGTGAAATAATAGCATCCCATTTACTGCCAGTTCCTCCTTTACATTCAGATCACTGTTATCATGGCTGGGCCAAAGCAAGCTACTGAACCATCAATTAAGCAAAATAGCAAACTATGGTTTACTGAAAACCAGGACTGGTAATTACTAATAGCTACATTTGAATGTTTCCTTTGTGCTTGGTGCTACTTTGAACAGTCCCTTTGCAAATACTTTCTGAGATCACAGTGCTTTGCATGACTAATATGAATGTAAGACTCTAAAAGAAAGATCTACAGAAATTTTAGATTGGATCATTTAGATAAATTTAAGAAGACCATATATATTAATGTAATTAATTAAAATTAATTAAAAAAACTAATTCTATTTGACATCTTTTTAGAGTTTCTCTCTGGCTTTCCATGTAGGCACACAAGTTGACACACTTGTATTTTAATTAATTAGTTAATAATATTACTATTACTAATAATAATTATTAATATTAACTAAAAGGATGGAACGATAAGAAAATGGAGATATTTCTAGAATATACATAAAAATATTAAAAGGAAGTGACAAGTGAAAGTATTACACAATGTTTAAATAAAGTTTGAAACTACTTTTAGGCCATTAAAAGTAATTCCATTTTGAGTCCTGTATCAGGTCTGAACAATCAACTCAAACTACACCAAAATACCTTGTTGAACATCTATTTATTTAAGTACAGTATTTGAAAAATACAGTTTAAATGATAGTATGTCTTTTTAAAGTCAAAACCTGAGAGATGCTACTGAGATGCTGGCAAAAGTAAATGCTTTGACACTAGTTATTTTTTGGTTTGAATGAAACTAACTCCCAGGCATAACCATTTTAAGTAAAAATAACTTGCCGAACAAAAATTTTAGTCTTGGCTCTTCTGGAAAATCACTACATCACCCACACACCCCTTGTACTATCTGAGGGCAAACAAGAAAAGAAAAGAAAAAGCATCTGTCACCAAAAAAGTAGACAACCTGAACATTAAACGCTTTGCTCTTCATCTATATTGATACCACTGGATGTGTCCTCAAGGACTGGGGCCTGGCAATTAAAGTTCCAATCTTTAAGAAGGGAAAGAGAGATGACCCTGATAACTACAGGCCAATTAGCCTGCTTAACATAATCAGGAAACCTTACGGTAAGCACCTCCACAATAAACTTAAGGACCGGCTGGATCAGGAAAATCTGATAGCAGAAGAGCAGCTGGTTTTAGAGAAGGTAGAGGCACCACTGACTGATGTTTCTTCCTACAGCACTTGATTGAAAAATATTCAACCAACAATGTGGTATCATTGTATGCTGCCTTTATAGATCTTAAGGCAGCCATTGATTGTGTATCCAGGACCAAATTGTGGGAGAAGCTGGAAGCCTCAACAATTGACCATAGGCTTCTCTATTTAATCCAAGCCCTACACACTAATATGACTCTTCAGGTCAGGTGCAATATGCAAGGGTTTCTCTCGAAGCTGGTTAAAACTCAAAAGGGGGTAAAACAGGGAAGCATTTGGCCCTCTGCTTTTCATTTTTTGTATCAATGGTATGGTGAGATGTCTAAACAATCCAAATTTCCATCCCCCTAAACTAGAGGATTGGAGCATTGCCCTGTTGCTTTATGTAGATGACACTGTAGCTCTTTCCAGAACACCAAAAGGCCTTAAAAGAGCTCTGAGAACTCTGGTCCAATACTGCAACAATTGTCACCTGGAAATGAACTATCAGAAAACTAAGTTGATGGCATTTGCCAAAAGGCTGAAGCTCCATTCATGAAGCAGAAATGGCCAAAGAATAGAACAAGTGAATTGCTTTAAGTATTTAGGGATAGTCATGCATGCCACTGGCTCAAGGAAAGCCCACTGTGAATATGCTGCTGCTACTGGTTAAAGATCTGCCAATGCCATCCTCAAATTTTTCCACTGCAAAGGAGGATATTATGCTCCGGCTGCACTTAAGCTCTTTCAGGCTAAGCCACTAGCTCAGCTCCTTTACGGGACTGTGGTTGTCCCCCCAGCTTCTTGTTTCACCTTCTAGGAGAGGGTACAATCTAAATTCATCAGGGCAGCTCTCCAGATAACTTGTTGTGTCTCCAACACACATTAATGACTGGAGACAGGTATGATAAAAGTTGAGTCAAAAGTGAGTCTAGCTTCTAGAAACATTTGGTTAAAGCTTAACTTTTATCCTCAAGGCCTAGCATCATTTAATTCTCCAGGATAATTTTCAATCCACATGGATCAAGGCTGTTGAATCTAAACTTTTAAATCTAGGCTACTCTCTCTCCCCAGTTCTTAAGATGAAATATAATCAGGTGAAACAAACCCTGAAGCAAAGGATAAAGGATATGGAGCAGCAAGCAGATCTAAGGAAGGCCCTAGCCTTCCTGTCACCAGCACACAACAGATATATTGTCATTGCTGAAACACCCAGCCATTAGAAAGCTTTATCTCTTGCCCGATGTCATGTACTCCCCTCTGCAGTATTGGATGGTAAATATAAAAAACTACCATTGGCTGAAAGTCTTTGCCTCTGTGATTCTGGAGAGGTGGAAACTACAGAACGTGTTCATCTTCACTGCTTCTTTTACAGAGACATTCTGACTTGATTCATCCTGCCTCTGATTAGTAGATATCCTGGTTGCTCAGGCTCGGCCTATGCCCAGATGCTGATCATAGATGAACTGCCTTTTGTTACAGCACATGTGGCTAGGTTTTGTGCAGCAGCGCAGATCTGCCAGACCCTGATGGGTCAATTTTCTGCTAGCCAAATGCATTCTGCGTAATTGTAATTGATTTAAATTTTAGATATTATCACTTTTTTTTGGTAATTTTAGATGTTGTTATACTTTATATAATTTTAGTATCTATTTTATAATTTAAATATAGACTGCATCCTGTATTTTTAATGTATTTCATTATTTTAATGTATTTTAATTTGCAATTCTGGTCTGTGACCATAATAAACATGATGATGATGATGACTGCATCCTGGACCTCACTCATAGATGTTAGGTTGCTTTATAAATGTATTTTAACTTTGTCTTAAATTTTATTTCATTTATTATCTATTAAGATAGA